CCTCCCTTAGCCGCGGGGTCCCGGGCTGCCCTGTACGTCGGGGAGCAGCCAGTGCCCGGGGGCCCCCGGCCTTTGGCGAGTGCAGCAGCGGCCGCGGCCCCCTGTAAGCAGGGCGGGAGCCTGCGGGGCCGCTGCTCTCCATGCCCAGCTCCATTTGCCCAGCGTGCCTGCCTCGGACCCCGGCTGCAGCTTCAAGCAAGACGCCCGGAGACCGTGGAGTTGGCAGCGACTGCTGGTGAGCTTGGCGAGGGGCTTTGGCGGGAGCTGCTGGGGCTTGGGCGCAGCATCGTCCTCCGGGGAGGCTTGTTCTGTTCTGGGCCCCAGGTGGGAGGCGCTGGCGCCCCAGGAGCATGGCGAGAGGGGCCAAGTGAGGGTCACTCTGGTGAGAGCAGCTCAGCTCACTCGTGACCTCTTAGGCAGGAGGRCTGGTGTATGGTCACATAGGAGGGTGAAGAGGAGACTCTTGTGGGTCAAGCTGTGGAGAGCTCCTTGGTGCCCGCTCAGGCACTGTCGTTGAGGTAGGCTGAGCTGCTCCTTCTTTGTCCTAAATGTCTCTGCTTGGCTTTGCAGCAACTCCCAGAGAAGAGGACTCCTGAGGAACTGCGAGTCAAGAGGGCGCAGCGAGAGAGGAAGAGGAGGAAAGAGAAGGGCACTCTGGGCAAAGGAACCACCCTGCTAGCAGCAGGGCTGTGGTCACACATGAGCACGGCTGGCCCTCGGTGGCCTTGCTGCCCTTGTGCTGGGCGACCTCCCTGTAAGCAGGGCTCGGGTCTTTGCTTTGCTAGTTTTGGCCTTTTGCCACGTTGCTCCTTGGCTGCCTGGAGAGAGGGGCGACCCTGTAAGGAGGGTGCGAGTCCCTCTCTCCGCACCTGAGGGCCACGGGGAGCTCCCTGGACCCCACGCCTGCCCTGTAAGCAGGGCAGGGCTCTTTGCCCCCGCCAAAATATAATTATTTTTCCCTGCTGGCAACCTGGCCAGCGTGACCCCCTGTCCTCGGGGTGTGTCACTACAGTAGCTTTCTGGGCTTCCTGTAAAGGAATGAAGAGCCCTGGAGCAGAGGGGGACTCTTCTGTGACCCAGATCCGAGGCGGGGAGTTCTGGTCTGCCCCTTCCGTCTCTGGGCAGAGCCAAGCCACTAGGTAACGTGTGGGCAAGCAGACCTGCCTGTAGTGGGGGC